CCGCGTTATTCACCAGCAGACTGACCGACCGACCGGCACCGGCCAACAAACTTTACCGCGCAGTGTCGCTGACTGACTGAAGAACAATACCGTCCTGCTGTGTAGCCCGTTGCTATTCAGATTCGGGCACAGCCATAAACCAATCAGCATCTGGCGGCTAGAGAATAAAAAATCGGTTACTCTTTGCTATTCGATAGGAATAAAGCACAACTTCTCATTAAGTTATTGTTTTTGGTTTCTTGTTTTAAAACGCCAAAGAAAAATTTTATTCAACAAAAAACAGTAATATAACTTCGATTTGTCGGAGGCAGCAGTTTCAGATACAGAGGCGTACAGTGGTAAAGGTTCATGAACCAGAACATTTTTTCGCGGTTTAAAATGTTGAAAACTTCGTCGAGTCACATTTGTATGCTAAACGGGTAAATGGACAATTCCCCGAAGGATCTGGTCGGATCCACTAACTACAGTCAGAACGAGACTAATGATGTGAAGGTCGAAAGCCAATGCACATTAATGCGGTTGAGATAGGGTGGAATATGACAGCCTAATCGTGAGCCATTTTGCACTCTTGCCAGACAGCGAATGACAGCAACGAAGCCAAGTTCTCTTTGACACAGCAGCCAAGAACTTCATAGGATGTGGTGCGAAAAAAATAACTGCGCCAAAGAACTGTATCAATCATCGGTTCTATCGACCGACTCAAGAAGACGTAACTTTAAAATTTTTCATTTAATCTACCTAGAGCAGCAGCGGTAAATAACCATGCAGTGTATATTTTATTCGTATATACTAAAATCTATCCATTCAGCAAAAGCGTAAACAGAAGAAACTTAATTTTCATGTCCACACACGCGGCAAAGCCGTTTGAGTGAAAAATGGTCAAAGTAACGACAATCGACTAATGGTACCTTGTAGGCAATTAATGCTCAAAAACCGGATACGACTCTTCAAATTACATCGGCCACATCACGGCCCCATGTAACCGCAGGATGCAGCTTGTTTTGCCTACCGTTTTGTCCTGCTTTCGAAGATGGCAGTGAAGCACCGACCATGGCTTAGAAGATCTTCAGCTGAGCTGAGACGACGCGGCGCTGTCCTCCTCCTGCAGTGGAGTCACTAGCATCAAAACCGAATGTCCAAACTGTCCGTAAACTGGGAAAAACCCGACGACGGACATCTCTCGAATATTTGGAAACCAGTGTTTTCATAAAGCAAAGCTGAACAAACATAACTAGTGAAAAACGAATTTAATTATATAATTGGGTACATTAAGCACCGCCGAAATTTCAATGGTCTTTTTCTCGATGAACAAAGGACATGCGCTCAAGTATGGTACCACCGTATTAAAAATTACTACCGTAAACTTTACAGAACTTGCGGAAAATCAACAACCCATAATATTCTGTCTCCTTGCGCAGTGGTTTCTGCAAGAAATGGTTATTAATCTTGCGATCTGGTAAGAAAACACCAACCAGATCAAGAAAATTACAACTCCAGCTAAAATCAATATTGGACGTAGGGGGTAATGGGCGAAACCAAATATAACATGGCAAAATACTGCTGCATGACTGACGACTGAAATGGTCGTAATCAACCAGCCCTACAGCTCAGGGCTTGAGGACAGAGTAATCATCGCATGGCCAAATTTAACTTCTTTCCAATATTAGCCACTTACAACGCATAATTCATTAGCCAACTTTTTTTGGATTTACCACATATGTTCAGCTCTAACAATACGTCATTAGTCAAATCATTTGATATCATGAAAGTCGCTCGGTCTCCATCACAACGATATGAAGTTCAATTAACGGAGAAATGAATGGCGAGAGGGGGGAAGCATTTACCTCAGTTTGCTTGAAATGTAAACGCTAACGTATCATCCGGTCGCATTCAGTCAGTTCGTCTATCCTAACCTATGGTGACTGCCCAGAAGCTATGGGGCAACTGTTCAATAAAAAGCATTAATGGTTTCTAGACGTAAAAATGGAACAAAAACCGTTGCAGAATCACCATTACGATTTTATGTCATGCCATGGATATTGCAGGGCAATAACTGAGCATAATTTATATCGAATGGATTCTGCGTTTACAGCCAAATCGTCAATCTTCTTTGACCCATACAGTCAACAGCAGTGCCTAGCCCTTTCTGCGCATTATTTAAGCACACGATGCGATTTTGCACATGGGGCTCGAAAGACGGATAAATCGAATATAAATCCATATCAACAGTAAAAATGATGTGGAAACGGTTCCGCTATTTTCGATTTTACACTTGTAGCGTCGAAACATTTCCATCGTTCGTCTAATAGCGTAAACTCGGCCACTGGCTTCCCAAAAACCGTCTTTTAGTATTTGTCATAGGCAAGAGACAATGATCTAAGTAAAGGATTCTTCCATATTGTGAATAACTGTTTGGATTATTCCAATTTAGCCGCTATGGCTGCCGTGATCGCAGAAACTGTCGGCAAACAAGGCTTTGGTAGACTACTGTGAAGTCTGGAATAGTGGTCATAATTAGGTAGTGATTGGGAAGCAGCTGCCATTGTTCAGTTGGTCAGCACCTGAGCTCTCCTACGCAAAAGATTCATCAACAGGCGTCTGCTGGTATATCGCGCTATACGTCTCTCTTGATCAAAAGAATTAGTGTAAAACGACAAACAACCAACCAAAATAAATATGCTAGCAATCTTCTGCACCCAGGGTTTCGGCCCCTGGATCGTCAAGGCAATGACAGAGGATATTCTTGTGCCTGACTCAACGGTTACCAGTCTACTTCGTCCACAGGATGAAGATTTCAAAGATATTTTCTTTAATGATGCAATAAAATACACTTCGGCAAAACAATGTTGCTCTTTTTCTGGTTTTACACTGTTAAATTTTGAGTAAGGCTATATACTGTGGTTTGCCTGATGAAGACCAACATCGATTAATTGATACATTAGACAGTGCCACATCATTAAAATAAAGCGTTGTTGAAAGTCATTGCAGATTTAACGTGTAATAAATTAAATTAGTCCTTTTAAATTACGGGTTTCACCTTATTTGGAAAATAGGTTATCAGGTTCACTACCACGACTGTAAACACATTCATGTAGTCATATAAAATGTGCGCACTGAACCGCAAACTTGAAGTGTTTTTGTTTCATCACATCTGGCTTCCCACGCCGTATGGATCGCACCCAGTTGTTTGCAGTTCATCGATTGGTTGGCGTTTCCGCAAACTGCACCGGATTACAGCAGATTCGCTGCTTAATGGAAGCAGCCGTTAAAATTTAATTTCACGTTACTTTTACATTCTAACCCGTAATTTCAGTTTATGAAGTGCATCAATGACAAATAATTACATTACCACTTTTCAAGATGCTTCTCTTTAATAATATTTCTCAGATATTAAGGACACTCCTTGCATTGAGGAGTTTGCAAAGTAGGTCAAATGGCGAATCTACAGCAACAGTATACCCTTATTACTGAATCCACTATTTTAAGGTGTACAGTAACATACACGGTCAAACGCAGACTGACGATGGCAGTTATTTCTCATAGTAAATCCGCTGTTATATCTGGCCACCTCTAGAAGAAAAAAAATGAACAGAAAGACTAGAAACAGTTGAAAGTCCATCTCCTCCACTCTCCCATGAAAACTACTACAAATACCCTTATAGAACAGAAATTATATAGCAGCGCATATCTCCATTTCGACCCCATCAGCAACGAGTACCATGCTCATGAAAACGAAATCGAGAACTGCACAGCAGGCCCTGCATGTAGAATGTTTTCTTTCTACATCCACTGGTATCTGCTGGTTTAACCATAGAGACGATAGGCGAGTTCCCTCAACTGAAATTTGAAGTAACAAAATTTCGACCTCCAGTTTGGCATTAGCCACACTGTGTAAACAAACGACTTCTGGCGACTGCGGCACTGAATTGATCCCAAATCAAAAGCATCTTCAGGAAATCAATCTCATCCGTATATCCCATGTCCATCTCTGAGCTGCCGAGAGGTAGCGAGAGACCGGAATTTCGTTAAAAATGTTTACAGCAGCGATGGCACTGTAAGAAGGAACATCTGACGTCAGTTTTGCCCCGAGGCCAAAGAGGGCAAGTTCAGCGCCAGTCTATTATGTACATGATACACGCAGATCAGATAATTCAGTGACCACTACGGACGAAAACAAGTCACCTATCAGGCATACATGTCAATTTACTACTAGCCGATAACATACTTTTACGCCTTTAGAACCCATAACTTCTTTGACTATCGTGGGTGCATGAAATACAACGGCTCGTCTAGTGATTTCAAATCCTGAAATGATCTAGCGACCAACCTTGGTGCCACATAAATGTGCGATTCTATCATCGGTACAAAAAACAGTGAAGTCTGCAAATGCTATATTTGGCACCCCTATCTTCTCCCACTGCTATGACTACCGTTTATGGAGCTTACGGCGGCGGCTAAACGCCGCTACTATGAGTCCCTTGCTTAATTCCCACACCAGGTCATGCCTTCATCAACGACTAGATTGTGATCTGCTCTCGCGGCATTTTGAATGCCAATCTGGCCTTTTACCACTGAGCCCGGCTATCGAATAATGTTTGGTAGTAGAATCGCAAAAACGACTGCGCATCCAACGAACCTTCGAAAAAAAAATGCTAGGTGGGTCACACGACCGTCGTGCATTTTAGTGCCTCCGATACCAGAAAAAGCTCAAATAGCTCTCAGAAAACTGAAATATTTGAGCAGGAAATTGTTTTCCAGAACAAATGATGAAGTTCCCGTTGTCCTCCTGCGCAAGATAAGCAAAGGCTGTTAAATGATTTTGGAATCTGAACGCCAACTTCAATCGAAACTCAA